ATAAATCATATCTAAAATGTACAAAATATGATGAGTCTGTACTTGTGATCTATCACTCCATTAATATTTCTTGGATTTGCATATACAGGGTGACTCAAAAAAATTAATGAATGCGTAAATTTATTTTACTGATTTACTCAGAAACTACGAAACCGAATGCTTTGAAATCTTGCAGATATTTTAAGGTTATAAAGAGCATAATAAATGTTTAGTCAAAATATACTTGCTTATCCCCTCCAAAAAAATGATGACGTCAGCTCGAAAGTTTGCGGAATAAATCCTATCTAAACCGTAAAAATAAGATGAGTCTGTACTTGTGATTTATCACTCCATTCATATTTTTTGGATTTGCATATACAGGGTGACTCAAAAAAATTAATGAATGCGTAAATATATTTTATTGATTTAATCAGGAACTGCGAAACCGAATGCTCTGAAATCTTGCAGATGTTTTAAGGCTATAAAGAGCATCATAAATCTTTAGTCAAAATATATTTGGTTATCCCCTCCAGTAACTTGTTGACGTCAGCTCAAAAGTTTGCCGAATAAATCCTATCTAAAATGTACAAAATATGATGAGTCTGTACTTGTGATCTATCACTCCAATCATATTTTTTGGGTTTGCATATACGGAGTGACTCAAAAAAATAAATTAATGAATGCGTAAATTTATTTTACTGATTTACTCAGGAACTACAAAACCGAATGCTTTGAAATCTCGAAGGTATTTTAAAGTTATCATAAGCATGGTAAGTTTTTGATCAAAATGTATTTGCTCATCCCCCCTAAAAAATTTATGACGTCACCACAAAATTTTGCCGAATAAATCCTATCTAAAATGTACAAAATATGGTGAGTCTCTTCTTGTCATTTATCATTCCATTCAAATTTTTTCGATTTCCATATACAGGGTGACCCAAAAAATTAATGAATGGGTAAATGTATTTTATTGATTTAATCAGGAACTCCAGAACCGAATGTTTTGAAATCTTGCAAATGTTTTAAGGTTATAAAGAGCATAATAAATTTTTAGTCAAAATATATTTGTTTATCTTAAAAAAAAACTGATGACGTCAGCTCAAAAGTTTGCCGAATAAATCCTATCTAGAATATATATACAAAATATGATGAGTCTGTACTTGTAATTTATCATTCCATTCATATTTTTTGAATTTGCATATACCGGGTGACTCAAAAAAAATAATGAAATCTACTGCGAAAAAAAAACATAATAGACATGCAGTCGTCACGTTTCCGACAGCGAAGGTAGTACTGTCTAAACTCTTTAGACCAATTTTTTAATCTTGCCACAGTTCACATCCACTGAAAATTAATGGTCTTATGACAGTTCTGTACAGTCTTTCTTTTGCTTTCCTGGAGTCCTGTTTGGATACTTCTGTGAGCACTCCTCCACTTCTGTGTCCTTTGTTTATTCTGTAGCTGATATCACTGCTTTCTGCAGGTAGGTAACGTTGTCTTTTTTACATACCGATAAAAATTTCTGTCTGTACAATTATTTAGTATTACATCTCATGTTCGCTGAAAAAATATTTACTATTACTTTTTCTTCCCCTGTCCCTTCAGTCGACCATCAACACATATTTTAACTTTTCTTAATTGATTTCTAGTCCCATTCTTTTTGTAGCGTCTTCTAATCTTCTGGTCATATCCTTGAATTATTTCCTTGTTCTTGTTAGAAAAACCAGGTCGTCTTCGAGCGTTAACATTGGTGCTTCAGGTTAATTAATGTACCTTGTCCGTGAATAATACGTACCTTTGTTTAATGATGGTATGTTTATATAAGTATTTAATCAAACCCCCTTTCTACTTTAGCACGTTGTACTGGTATGTACAAATTTGGGCAAATTATTTTGGTTCTTTCCAAGACTTTTTGCTTCCATCCATGTGTTATCCCTCTTCTTGAGTATTTTCGCTATCATATCATCCCAGATTTATTTTGGGCGTTCCTTTCCTCTCTTGATTTGTATACAAGCTTCCCAGACCTGTTTTACTTGTCGGTCACTATTTAGCCTACCTAGGTGTCCCTACCAAGTCAACTGTTCATATATACTCTAGGATGCTTTGTACTTCTAGATCTTTCCCCAATTCCTAATTTCTTGTTCTACCTCATCGCGTTGTTTTTACTTTTCATTAATATCTCATGTGTCAAAATTCGTAAAAAAATAGTGTTTTCAACAGTCATTTTTATTGTCTTCGTTACTTCTTTCTTATCTATAAAACTTGTAGTTAGTGCATATGTCTTTGCACCCTTCTCTATCTATTAGTTAACATCTCTTTCTTGGTTTCCTTACTCATCAGTTACAACACCCAGATATTGTGTTCGACCCGCTCTAAAACTGTATGTTCAACTTGAATTTTTACTTATTTATTCCCATTCTGTACTCGTTCAGGATTTGGTTCCATATCGTTGTATTTTTTGTTTTCTTCAACTATTACGATAACGTCCGCAATTGCACACTTCGAAATATCTATTTTTCTTAAGTTTCTGTAATCAAGATACAGTTTCTTCTACGACATTCCCTCATTATATCGTCCATAAATATTGAATAGAAAAAGGCTCATAACTCCACCTTGCCTTAATCCTTCTCTAGTTACAATGTCTTCCGATTGTGCATTGTAGATGATTATATGGTTTACGTTATTCCTATACATGCTTTGAATTACTTTTATCATGTTGTCGTTGATTCCTCTAGCTTCTAGCGTCTAAACTTTACCATACTTTTTCTCTAGGGACTCTGTTGAACGCGTTTTCCATGTCCAATAAACAAAAGTATCATTTTGTTGCTTCGTTAGTCTTCATTATACTTTTTTTTAACGTGAAGATGTGATCTTGCAGGCTGCACCCCTTTCTAATCAGCTTTCTGCTTCCACGATCGAGTGTTTTAGCTTTGCCCTTAGCCTGTGTTCTAGCACGTGTTCGAGTAGTTTAAGTACTGCGTTTAATAAAGTTATTCCTTGGTAAGTTTTGCATTCTTTCTATCGCATTTCTTACAGATTGGCACAATTAATGCTACTTAGCAATATTTAGGTATTTTCTCTTCCTGTATCACTTGATTTTGTATATATTTCCAAAAGCCTGCAGCCTACTATGTTTAATAGTATATTGTTGAAATGCTGGAATCTTTTACATGAAGCTTAAAAATAGAGAATGTTGGGAGCCGCGCAGAGAATAACGACTGGTTGTGTCTTCCCCTGTAGGTATATTGCACTTTTTCTTATGACTTTAATACTCCAGTTATCGTTTTGTTGACCAGGATCACTAAAATCGCGCTTTTCAGATTTCTGTTCGTACTTACATGTGAACAAAGTTTATTGCTTACGTTTACCATGTTTGTTCAATTCGACTAGTTTTTCGAACTGATATTTTGTGCCATAATGCATAGTTGTTGCGAGCAGTTTTTTCTCCTCAAAATAAATCATTCATTCCAGAGTATGGATGGCGAGTAGAAGTCTTACTTCTAGGAACCTCCTGAAGTTAATGAGCAAATTAGACAGATGCTACATGACTTAATACCGACACTTCTCTTTTCAGGTCTTTAATTTCAGAATTCAGTGCTACAAACGTAATTTGATAAGTTCTTCGCCTACCATAGAAGAAACAACAATTTGAAAATCAAAATATTTTTATTCAACGTAATCCCCTTTCAACGCTATACACTTGTTACAGCGACCTTGCAACTTTTCTAACCCTCTTAAAAAAAAATAATTCTTCCTGCTCCTCAAACGAAGCCTCCACAGCCTCTATTATCTCGTTGTTTGAAAAAAATTTATGGTCTTTTAAGGTTTTTTTTAATTGACGAAACAGATAATAATCCCAGTGAGCTAGGTCCAGAGAATAAAGAATGAAGTGTTTTGAACCCCAAATAATGAATTGTATTCATTACAATGTGCGATTTGTGTGCAGGAACATTGTTCTGCTAAAACAGAACTCCTTTGGAAATTTTTTGCCTCTCGTTTCCACAATTTTTCGCGCAGCGTGGTTAATAGGCTTTAGTAGTATGCTCCTGTTGTGGATTTGCCCTTTTCTAGATAATCAACCATAATTACCCCACACGAATCACAAAAAACTGAAGCGAGTATTTTTTCGGCAGATTTTTACACCCGAAACTTATTGGGTCTTGGAGCACCAGAATATCTCCGTTTCATGGACTGGTTGCTTTGTTTCTGGATCGTAGAAATACAGCCAGGTTTCATCAATGATAATCACGCGGTTTAAAAAGTCAGGGTCCTCATCAAAAAAGGCACACAAAGAGCGTGAAGTTTCCACTTTTGCTCACTTTTGATCGGCATGCAAGCACTTTCGAATCCATTATGCTGAAATTTTTTTCATGTCCTAACCGGTGTGAATGATGTGACGCACACGTTCACAGGAAATCTTTAGTGTCACAGATATTTGTCTTATGGAAATTCGACGACCTGACAAAATCATATCGTGCACTGCGTCAACATTTTTAGGAGTGGATACCGAAATCGGTCTTTCTGGTCTATCGTGATCTTCAATCGAAACTTTTCCCCTTTTGAAAGAAGGAACCCAATTTTTTTAAAGGGGCATAAGAAGGACAAACTTGACCAAGTGTTTTAGACATATCATCGTAAATTCCTTTACCCGTTAACCCCTTTAGATACAGGTACTTAATAATCGATCTAAGTATATTCAATTTTACTGATTTCCACATTTTCACTAGAGATGACTTTTCCAAAATTCTCGTGCACAACAATGCTTGAACTTTTCGGAGTCAAATTTGACAGTGATTTCTAATAAGTTGTTGTTTGTTACCATGGTAATAAAAATTTGTTTTATGCAGTGGAAAGTACGTAGTCTAACAATTCTAACAATTTATCAAATTACCCTCGTATAAGTTCGAATAAAGCAGTAGTCAGTATTCTCAAAGATCAGTTTTAGGCACGCAATCAAAGCCATATAGATCAATTCGTTATGTATGAATTTTTAAAACGAATATGTCTAAAATTCAAAAAATCTATTTTTTGCACTCATGACCTTTTTTGATGGCTTTCGCGCATTCACCACCGTGCGGGAGTTCGAATTTCCCGCACACGTGCATTTTAACTTCCCGTTGCCATGGTAACCTTAAAATACTCGCGTAGTGTCAACATTGTGACGTGTTGACGGCGCGCATTGTTTATAAATAACTCACAGTTAATTTCTTCAATTTAAAGGTTTATTCGTTGCAAAAAATATTGTACACAACACGTTCGTGAGCCTGCTTCCCGCATTCACGCAAATGCGGCACTCCCTTCGGTCGTGCCGCAAACAAGCGTTCATGCGGGAAGCAGGCTATCCCGAACTAGTTGTGTAAATTACTATTGTGCTTCACCAAACTGAGATTTCGCCTGAGAATCTGCAATACATCTAACTAGAAAACTAAACAACTTTGCTTAATAACGTTAGATTTTCTTTTGTAAGGATGTTATATGAATTACCAGTGTGATGTTCCTTCGCCAAATGTTTCTGAGTCTTAGTCACGTGTTATTTTAATTCAATTGTTTACCGTACTTTTGGTATGTGCTAAATTTTAGCTATGCGTCAGTATTATTAGAGCTATTATTACTGGCAATTTTAGCATTATTATTATTGCTATTATTATTACTGATCCTTGCCGTGATATACAGTTGTCAGGTTTATGTATTCGATGGATGTGAGTTTTGCATTCATCGCAGGAAGATTATTCCTGGTGGAAGTTTGGAGGAATTAATTTGTGCCTCGAGTGGCGTTTGGATTCCCACGGCAGGCTATGACAAGCAAATTTACTTTTTATTTTATGAACCGAGTGGTCTATCTCTGGAGAGAAGCAAGGAATAATAAGAAAAATTTTGTATTCAGTGGGTGTTTGAAGGGCAGTATAAGCACTCGACAGTAAGGGAAAATTCACATTTGTACTATATACTTGTACAATGGTACATCTTATTACGAAAAAAGAACAATTATTGTAATTAAAGTTTAAAATAGCCAGAAAAAATATGTAAAATAATGAGAAAGTTAGGGCATTGCAATAAAATTTGTAAAATTACAAGATTTTAAAAAAGTTGACGTTTTTGAACTTTGGATAATTTCCAACGAAATGTTACTCTACGAGGAATTTGAATAGAAGTTGCGAATTGGTGCTTTTGAGATTATAGATTCTTTGCAAAAAAAGATTCATATCTAATAAGATTCATACTAAAAATAATAGTAAAAAAATTGAATCTTTGAAAAATATATTGTTCCAACTACGTTTAAGAATTAAGTAAATTGTCTGTTTCATCTTAACATAGAAAATAAATTTTGAACCAATTCTTTAACGATTTATTAGCTTAATTTTCCCTTTCGTCTTTATTATATTAACGGTGTCAGTTATTTGTCTTGTTCTGTTTCCTCTGCCTTGTTATTTACCCAGAAAATACACTTTTAAATAATCACGAACAAAAGCACACTGCACCTACATATTTAAATGCGACAAAAACAATGTAGACTTAGTTGAAAAAGCTAAAATTTGATAGAAACTTCAAATAACCGTGGAAATTTGTTTTTGTTAAATCAACACTCTGCAAACCTAAAATTTAAATTAAAATTACTTCTTCCCATCATTTTGCCCAACTTGTAAATAATAAAGTAAAAAGTTAAAATTAATTTAAAAATTTCTACGCCAGCAAAAATAACCTCAGGAAGTTGTCTCAACAATTAATTATTTCAAGTCTACAGCAGCTGATGCCCTCGCTGATGATCCAACTTACCGCAGGAAATTTGGTTCGAAAATCCCACATTGTTTTTAAATTTCCAGTCCAGAGATATTATTTATCCGCGAATTTCCGCCGCAATGAAGTGTAAAGCAAAAACCATCCCTGTGAAAATTTCCGAAGTACGTGTGTTTGCATTTTATATAGAGCTCCACTCTTCCACAGAAAAGTAATAAAGCTTTCTTATAACTTCTTAAAGTCGACTGGCAAAGTTCAAACTTGGAAACGAATACATAAAAAGCGCCGAACTCCGTCGATATTGAGGAATTATTTCTTAAATTATACAGATGTCGGCTTCTGATTACTTTATGGACTCGTCATTTATGAGCAAGGCCCGATTGCCAGATGCACCACGCGTTATTCGTCCTTCGCTATTTGCTAGACGCCAGAAAAGGATGACCTCTCCTACGTGCATACAGTTACATTTGGGAAATAAATTTGTGGTTTTGATTTTCATAAATTGGTTCCCGTTTGTAAATCCACCAAGGTTGTGTAATGTGATTTAAATTGATGTTCGACTTTATATTAAAAATGAACGTGCTTTCGTATAATCGTGCAGATTTTTCCACTTCCAATGCATATTCTTGGGGTATTATTAAAGTCTGAAAGAGAAGTAATTTGCTACGTTAAACAAAGTTTGAAGACTGCATACAGGTTTTTCGTTGAGACGGTAAATTACTTATTTAGAGATAACTGAGTGGAAAAGTTGCGTTCAATTTTAAACCACGTTGTTTTTTGACAAAAATCTTTTTTTTTTTTTTTTTTTTTTTTTTTTTTGTACATTTGGTCGCATCGACAGCTAGGTCATTAGCAACCTTACATGGTAGGGAAAACACACTTAGTAAAAAGAAAAACCCTTCTATATGCATTCAAACAGCTTAATATGTTTAAGAAACAGAAGGATGTTGACCACGTTCGGGATGGTACTTCCTAGCGCTTCGGCGAGGTTGGGTGATATTTGGAAATGGTTGCGTTGGGTTTGCCAGTGGGGACAATCGCAGATGAGATGCTGGACAGTTTGACGGCATCCGCATTGCTGGCAAGTAGCTGGGGAGGTGCGGTTGAGCAGGTATCCATGGGTGAGCCGAGTGTGTCCTAATCGCAACCGCGTTAAAACGACTTGATCACGACGATCTGGCGGAAGTGGAAGTATACAGTTAACTTCTGGCTTAATCTGCTGCAATGCTGTAGGCGTAGAGGTCCAGTCTGTTTGCCACTTTTGAATGATAGCCTGTTTAAATAAACTTTTGGCGTCAGGTGCTGGGACTAACAAAATTTCTGCGGCAGATTCCGATTCGACTGCTTCTTTAGCAGCCCTGTCAGCTTCTTCGTTTCCCGATATGCCAGTGTGAGATGGAACAAAGATGAAACGGACGGTTTTGCCGCTATTGGAGAGCATGGTCCACACTTCAAAAATTTGCATGATCAACGGATTGGTTGAATAAATATTTCGCAGTGCGCTTAGACTGGCTAAAGAGTCGGTACAAATGCAGTATTTAGAGGCGCTCATCGTGGTGATAATCTTGCAGGCTTGGAGGAGAGCGTAGAGTTCGCCCGTGAACACACTAGCTGGAGATGGTAGCCGTAATAGTCGGCGTACGGAAGGCCCAACGACGGCTGAACCGACGACGCCTGTGACTGATTTCGAAGCGTCCGTGTATAGAAAAGTCGAATCTGAGCAGGTTGCTTGTAAGGTATGAAATTCTGTCTGGATCACTGAAGCGGGTGTATTAGTTTTGGTGAACTGGAGGAGAGTGGTGTCTGGTCGAAGAGATGGAATTAGCCAGGGCGGGGGTGTAGCGAACTCATATGGAAGAATAGCGGGGAAGGACGGTATTCCGAGAGTTACCAGATCTTGTTGAAGGCGAATTGAGATGGGTGGGATTAGGTGTCGTTTGCGATCAAATAGTATAGTCAGGCGATCGGTAAATACATGCTGGAAAACAGGATTGCTGGGATTTCTAGAGGTATTAGCTGCGAAGGATAACTGAAGGTACTTGAAACGGAAAAGAAGAGGCGGTTCCTTTGCTATGCTATAGAGGCTGATAACTGGGCTTGTGCGGAAGGCCCCAAGGGCTATTCGTAATGCAGAATTCTGAAGAGTGATTAGAGGTGTAAGGAGCCTGGGACGGCATGCTGAGTAGGCCACTGCTCCATAATCAAGTTTGGGTCGTAGTAATGTTCTGTAGATACGAAGGAGGATTTGGGTGTCGGCTCCCCAAATAGGATGAGAGAGGACTTTCAGAAGGTCTACAATTTTTAGACAGGTAGCCTTTAAGTGATCTATATGCGGTTTCCATGAGAGGTGCTGATCAAAAACCACTCCTAGGAACTTGGCTTGAGGAACATAGTCAAGATTTATTCCCTGAAGCTGGAGGGGTGGAGGTAATTGCCCGCTTTTCTGCGAGAAACAGATACATTTCGTTTTTTCGGCTGAGAATCGAACTCCGTTATTTTCGGACCAGGCCTGGACAGTGTGTATGGCTCTTTGGAGTAGACTGGTTATTGATTGGAGTTCCTTTCCTTTTATGTAGAGGATGAGATCGTCAGCAAAGAGGCCACCTTTTACAGGGTGGTTTACATCCTTGAGAATATCATTGATTGCTATGAGAAAGAGAGTCACACTAAGGACGGAGCCCTGAGGGATGCCGTTTTGTAAGTTCTTTTTTCTCGATAACGTGTTGTTTACCCTTACTGAAAAAGTACGGTTGTGTAAGAAGTTAAAAACAAAAAAAAATAAATGTTTCCAGTGAGTTCCCATCGAAGAAGTTGGTCTAAGATTTTATGCCGCCAAGTCATATCATAGGCTTTTTCAATGTCAAAAAAAACAGCCAGAACTTTGTGTCTATTAGCGAAAGCTTCGCGAATTTCAGATTCGAGATTAATAATGTTGTCGGCTGTGGAACGAAGCTTTCTAAAGCCACTTTGATGGATGTTTAAAAGATGTTCCTTTTCTAGATACCATACAAGTCTCCGGTTTATCATTTTCTCCATGAGTTTACACATTGTGCAAGTAAGAGAAATGGGCCGGTATGAGTTAACATCGAATTTAGGTTTGTTGGGTTTTAAGATTGGAATAATAATAGCTTCTGACCAGAGCTCAGGAAAGGAATGGCCAGTCCAGATGTCGTTGTAAAGATTTAGGAGGATAACTTTTCCGGTGCAAGGAAGATTTTGGAGAAAGATGAAAGGTATGTCATCTGGACCTGCAGCAGAATTGGGACAAGCTTGAAGTGCATTCTCTAGTTCTTCCAGGGAAAAAATATTGTTGAGTGGGTGGACTGAATCGATTTGGGGGGGCGCAAAAGACGATTCCACTTGGTTTTTGTGGGATAAAAAGGCGGGGGTGCAGTTTGCATTGCTTGAGGCCGTCTCGAATTTTTGTGCAAGAAGATTTGCTATGCCTTGATTGTCATCAATAACAGAACCGTGAGAAATTATCTGCGCAGGACCCGGTTGATAAGTATTACCCTTAATACGTTTAATTCTGTCCCATACTACCTTGGTAGGAGTATTGCTGTGAAGGGTGGAAACAAAGTTCATCCAGGAGTTTTGTTTGGCTCTTTTGATGATAAGACGTGTTTGTGCACGGAGTTTTTTGAATTCAATAAAAGAGTCTTGTGATTTTTTACGTTTCCAAACATTGAAGGCTCTTTTGCTTTTTCGCAATGCTTCTGCACATTCTACGTTCCACCAAGGGACAGTTTTTCTTGGTATTAGTTTGGTCTTTCCAATATGGTTATGAGCGGCACTGACTATAAGGTGATTGAGTTGAGATAGAACACTCTCTGGACTCATGTTAGTATTTAACGACCCTAAATTTTGATCGATTTCTGCTTGATATTCATTCCAATTAGCCCTCAGGAGATTCCATCTAGGCTTAAACTGACCACCTGCAATATTCGGATTTGAAGGTTGTGAGAGCAGGTCCAACTTAATTGGCAAGTGATCACTTCCATATAGATATGAGTAAGGGCTCCAACTGAATATATGAGCCAAAGAGGGGTCACAAAATGCTAGATCTAAGGCCGACGTAGTGCCTGTAGCTATGTTGATTCTAGTGGCCTGTCCAGTATTTAAAAGGACCATGTTGGTGGAGCCAAGGAAGTCCTCAACTATTGTGCCTTTTGAAGATGTTGTGATAGAACCCCAGAGAATGTTATGTGCATTGAAGTCTCCTACAATGATGCACGGGTGGGGTAGTTGCTGATAAATATTTTCTAATTCCTCGAGAGAAAATGTCGTTGAAGGTGACAAATATATGTTACAGATTGAGAATGACTGCTTGAGTGTCACTTCAATCGCAATCGCCTCAAGACGAGTTTGTAGTGGAATTTGCATTGCCTGATAGGAAGAATCTACGTATATAGCCACTCCACCACTAGCTATAGAACTCAGCAATCTGTTTTTATAAAAACAAGTATATTCTTTATGGCAGTAGTAATGGTTGTTTTTAAAATTAGTTTCCTGTAAGCACATGATAGAAGGACGACATTCAGACATTAAAACTTGCAATTGAGGAAGGCGGGTATAAAACCCGTTTAAATTCCATTGTAATATGAATGGGCTATGAGAAACTTAAAATGTCTGGGATGAATCGGTTGCTTCGCCGTCATCATCTGAGGGATTAACTAGTGGGTTTAATTTCTTCCGAATCTTAGTGAAACGGGTTTTCATCGTACGATTTGTCAGATGTGGATATAGTTGGTAAAGCATATCTATTAGTTTTGCTATGTCTTGAGTAAATTCTTTAGCTACTGCTATTGGGTCTGCGGAGCCGGTTACATTTTCCAAAAAGATTTGAAGTTGATCGTAGGATAAAATGAATTGGTCTGGATTCTCTTGCATAATTGGTTTCAATGGTTGAAGATGTTCAGCTATTTTGCTCAAATTTCCATTATCTGAAGTTAGACTATCAGAAGATAAACTTTTCTTGATTTTTTTGGACTGTTGAGCTGGCCTTGTGGGTTTTAAAAATTCTGGAGCAGTATTTAATTGGGATGCATTGAGGCCTTGGAAAGGTGAACTAGAAATATCTTCCACTGGCGACCAAGATAAAGAGTCAGCTGCCCGTTTGTTAGGAGGCTGAGGGACAGTGTTAACTGCATCACTGGTGTCCATAATTCTTTGGAAGACAGAGGTAGCAGGTGCAAGGGTATTTAATGCTGGCAGGGGATCCTTTGCTAGACTAGGAGGGTTGAGCGGACTTTCGACAGAGCCTGCGTTACTTGACATCTGCCCTTCTTGCGAATTTTCTGGGACAACCGAGGTAGCTGTTTCTTGGGGGGTGTTATTAGGACATGTGTTAGCTATGTGCCCAGCAACTTTACAGGAGAAGCAAACCAATTCGTCATACGATGTGAATATTCGGTAAGTCGTCTCATCGAAGTTAATGAGTATGGATGATGGAAGCTCTACTGTATCATTCGTACTGACATAAACATGTCTTCTGAAGCTTAAAATGTGAGCAAACTGATCGCCCGGGATGCCTGCCCTTAAGAAGGCCATACGAGACATTAATTTAAAGCCCAGCCGTTCCACAGAGTTTTCCAAAAGTTCATGGGGTATGGAGGGGCAGACATTAGAGAGTATTATGCGGCGAGTCGGAGTTATTAAGCGCCGAATATTTAAGGTTTGGTCGTTGATTTTAATATTTGAATGATTGGCGACAAGATCATCAACAATGTTTGTGCTCGAAAAGTAGATACATATACGATTGTTGGACATACGGGAGGCAAAAAGAATAGTTTTGGGATCAACGATGTTGGCCAGAGCAGTAACATAATCACCCAGTTTAGTTTCTTCTATAGCGTTAATAATTATGGCCTGTTCTTTACTCGGGAATGTGTAAAAAAATCTTTAAGTTAGGTGAAGTATCGTTCAGTGTAATACGTGATAGACTTTAGTTAAGTTTCAAGAAAACTTAGTAAGGTGTTAAGGAAAACACTTAACAAAATTTCAATGACGAGCTTTCAATCGATATCTGAGCTTTATAATCCTCGTTCTTGTTCATAAGCTGAGCTATAAAGGTAATTCTGAAGTTCATCTGATTTATTAGAGGAATTTAAGCTTATAAGATACTAAATTTAGGTATGAATCTTTATGAGAATTTTTGCCTTGAAAATTTTAAATATATAAACCCAACTTGTCAGAATAAAGAGATTTTTATTTATGTCTCAAGACTGTTACTTTAAAGAAATAATAATGAAGACTACCTTTAATCAAGAAAAAATACTGAGCAGTAAAATCTAATTTGCAAACATCTTTAATAAAGAAAGCTTGTGTCCAAAAGCAAAAAAAATGGCATGTATATAGCTTCTCCAGTTCTAATTCGGTTTTATGAAGTGTAAAAGTTAACTTCGGTGATGGGACAATCATAAATAAGGATTTAACCATACCGTTACCATTATGCTGTATAATGGTTAAATCCTTATTTATGATTGTCCCATCACCGGCAGTAGTAATCTATTGTTAAGCAAGTTAATTTTTACACGTTGGGGTAGTGTCATAAAACCGAATTAGAACTGGGGAAACTATACTTATTTATTTACAAGCTATTAATGCAAGTTTTGAATTCTACATGGAAAAACAACTTAAGGGGTTCTCTACATGCTGCGTGGGTTTTTATACTCGTATGTACATTCATTTTAATATAAACAATTTAACGAAATAAAATTTAGTACATTCCCAATATTTAACGAAATTGGGTAAGCTGTTATAAACAATAAGTTCTATATCATATTTATTTTTAGATTTATTTTGTCTTTCAGAGCACACTACAACGCTAACAATTAAAAGATGTTTACATTATCAAATTTTCTGAACAAATACATACATTTTATTTCGTATCATTATCGTATACATTTAACAGTATTTTTAGATGACGTTATGCAAAATCATAATGGTAGCATGTAGTAAATAAGGAAATATTAGCTGTCGTGCAAAAATAAAATTATATTGACTGTCCGTCCATAAAAGCTGCTACTGTATTCAGTTAAGGATATGTACTAACTGAATTTAACAAAACGCCATATTTTAAGAAAAAAGTTGTACTTTTACTTTTTATTATTATAATTTTTTCCCAAAAATAGATTTATCAAAGTATTATCCAACCACCAAATTAATTTTCATGTAAGTGGTAGAAACGAGTTCGAGGCGCCATCTTCACTTCCGCGTCAAATCAATACTTAACGTTCTAGCAAACAACCAGTTAGCAGAAAACTTTAATCTAAAAAGTTTAATATAAGAAAGTATTCTGTTCTACTAGTTTTACTTATCACAACAGCAACAGATGCCTATTATCTAATAAATAAAAAGAAATACCTATGTAATCATCTTATTACATATTCCTTTTTATTTTTGCTGCCCTCTCTTAGATAGAAGCATGATTAAAAAATGTTTATTGTATTACTGTAATTTACTAGAAGGAATTATACTTTCTTCTTTACAGTTTCCTACATTTAACTGATTTGGCAATGAAATAAAATTAATGTGTGATAGTGGTCAATGGTATATAAAAAATTAGAGCTTTTACCTTCATATTTTGGGTATTTATTCATTTAATACAAATTTTAAATAAGTATATCTGGCATTTACTA